GCCGCGGGCGGGGGAGTTGCGCATGCACGCGGAGCGGGGCTGAAGGGGGAGGGCTGCCAGGAGAGAGGGAGGGCAAGTGTGCTTTGCTACCCTGCCCTGCTGGCTGTGGGGGGAATCTCTCGCTGCTTCACACAGCTTGTGGGCCCTCTCCATGCCTTCTCCCTTGGTTGCTTACTCTGGCTGCAGGCATGAGCTTCAGTTTTGGACGGGTTTGTTTTTTTTATAATTTGTATCCGATGCCAAATTGGCCAACAAAGAGTCCAGACCCATGAGTGGCTCTACTACTGGAAACATCTCCACCTGCACCTGGGGCTTCAGATGTTTCCAAAACCTTTGCCAGGCATCCTCCTTGCAGGCCCAAGCCCGGAGGCTTGGGGTTAGGATGCCCCAAAGTTTTTCTTGCTCTTTAGGCTTAAGGCCCTTGGAGCAAACAAGGGAGGATACTCCCATTTCCATAAGCTGGGCTTAAAGCTGCTGCACCTCGGTGGGTACTGAGCTATGCCAGAAGAGCAGTTCTCCTGCAAGGCGGTTTAGGAAAACTGCCTTCTTGGACACAGATGCATGGTATTTCCCCTGGCAGGTTAAGAAGCCACTACACTTGTCCTGAGCCTTCAAGAGGCATGAGCTTCAGTTCCTTTTGTTGCACCTGTGGTCAGGCACAAAGACCTGGCTGCAGTGGCGATGCATAGGGTGTGCACAGGGGTGTATGTGCACCCCCTGACTGACCGGGGACTGCAACGCTGGGGAGTGGAGCTTCTGGAAGCAGCTGCAGTGATTAGCCACTGACTGGTCCCGGGGGGGGGCACATGCCCCTCCTGACTAAGGCAGCACCAGTCACCCATGCCTGGCTGGGAAGGTGAAATGGATAACTCCTGGCCTTCTGCTCATCCCTCCCTCCATGGGCAGCTGACTGTGACAACAAACTAACTTCTCAGCCAGCTTCCGTTCACAGCCACGCTTCTGCCAAAGGCCAGCAGGAACCTAAGCAACCTTGGGTTGCTTTGCCTGTGCAAAGTTATTCTCACTTTATGCCTGAAGAGCAATGCAGAGGGAAACACACATCCTGCTCTATTTCCCTCTGCAACCTTCCTGTGCCATGCATAAACTACGACTGAAGATCCCCTGCAAAGATTGGGGGGGTGGAGAATAAGGGGAGGACTGAAGTACCCTGCCACCCTGAGAAACAATTTAAAGTATCTTTAAACGGACTTTCTAACGTTTTAATTTATGCATAAAATTACTAGCTACAGGTTTTGTTAGGGGGGATTGTAGTTCGCTTTACAAAACAGTACATTGCTTTACTGTAACATACTTTGCTTTACAGGAAAAGGGCTTTCCAGTAAAATACTTTACTTTACATAATCCTAAAAGCTCCAGACAAGAGACTAGGGAGAAAATTATTCCCCTCTCAAAATGAAAGCAACACTTTGAGCCTAGAGAGGTGGTTAGCTGTCTGAAGCCAGGCAGGGGACAGGGTAGAGTTGCACCTTGTAGATTAACTATATCCAATGTATAGCATAAGCTTTTGTAAGTGAGCCCTCTGCTTACGAAAGCTTATGATATATATCTCCGGTTTTCTTTGAATCTAGCAATGTAACAGGATTCTACGCACTGGATTACATCCTATCACACTGCCTTTTGTATTTAGGTAGACACCCTTACTGTAGTATCGGATTGCCTTATATTTAACTAACAATGAAATATTTAGCAACATTTCACCCATTGTCATTGTCTGATCTCCTTGATTCCTGCCTTGTGTGTTCTCATTAGTGGGCAATGAATCCATATGCATCACATTTTGTTTAAATAAGTAAGGAGGCTATTGTTATCTGTGTGCATACTCTCATTCTGTGTAGTTTCATATAATTTGCCACTTCAACAGAAGCAGGAATTATTTCTGAATTAATATGATCCAAAATAACATGACAAACACTTTATTGCAGGTCAGTCTATCCCAGGTCTTTACTGATCAATAACTGATCATTCTAGACTTAAAATCAGAAGCCATGAGGTTTCCTCAGTTTCTTTTTGTCTGAAAAAGGTGCTTATTCTCATATTTAATTTTGCTGTGTAACAAGTCTCATTGGGAGCAATCTCACTGGGAGCAATTTTTTCTCTCACATTAGCTATTGCACCAAAATCACAAAAGAGATTTTTGGACTAATACAGTATAAAACGTGGTAATGAAGATCGGTCCTAAATGTCATACTCTTCACAGATTCTCTTTTCACACAGATATTCGTTCTTCTTAATTAATGGGCAAGCTGTCGTGAAATAAGGATTGATTTCAGGACCAACTTCACCTAAGCAGGAGAAAAGAAAAGGAGCAACGCATTAACAAACTCTCACAACTCCCACATACAAAAGAATGGAGGTTCACTGATCTCTTAAAGACAACAGGTTAGATTTCGCTCTCTGCCTTGCTAAGGGAAATCTAGTTTAACTCTGTGGACGTCATTATGTTACTCTGCATTTACCCTGATGTAAAAGAGATCAAAACGTGATCCATTGTGTCTAAATATAGGCACAACCTGCCCACTGGGTAATAAAGAAAAATCAAAAGTGCCACAGAGCGATTAGAGACTCTATCCATTTCATAACGCTTGCAACCAGTGCAATTGCCCTGATCCAAAATTCTAGTTCAGGTTCATCCAAGCAGCAGCCATTAAAAATGAGGAGGAGTGGGCAGTTAATGCCACCAGACCCACAGTTCACACGTCCATTTAAAAAAAGAAGAACATGTATAAACAGACTTACATAGCCACTCAAGATCACAGGACACCCATGAAGGAGGTGGAAAGACCACTTTGCATAACTGCCACCTCTATTTCAAGTCAACTGTCCTTTTTACCAAAGCACAAGGCCTTCTCTTTACCATATTTTATTACAACCAACCATACGGTCTAATATACAGGCAAGAATTTACTGTGTACTAATCTATCTTGTTTCTTTATTATTCTTATAAAATAGCTAACGTTGGCTAAAACCACTTTGGTACTTCACTAGAGAACCCTTGGAAACTGAAAACACGTCATGTAGCGTAGAAAAATGTGTTCCCAAGCCTAGCTTTATGGTTCCAGTCCAATTGTTTACTTTTTCCGACTCAGGCAAGTAGGATATGTGGATAACCATACAAACGTCCACTTTCAATCTCCTTCTTGCGCATGCTAATTTGTTTTGCTTCTGGGAAGACAAGAGACACCCAACGATGTCTTTTCATATTACAGCCAAGTTAAAATTCTGATGAAGCAAATAAAGACGCCAACTGTTGTCTGGCTGAGCCTTGCGTGTAAGGTTTAAATGTGACAAGTGCACAGCGACGAACTGCAGAATATAACAGATGTTATTTTTTAACAGGGCCAGATTTTTGCAACCCATATTTGGAAATTATTTATTTTTGAGGATAGATGGTAAAATCATTAGAAGGGTACTGTGCTTAGACGGATTGCCGTGAAACAGATTTGTTGATGAAGTTTCTTGTGTAGAGCAAATCCTTCTAATTCTTGTTTTTCCAATTCATAAATCTGGTAGTTCTCACAAACTGGAGGGAAGTAAGTGAGGAGTCTAATCTCAGCCTTCGCCCAAGTCCAAATCACTTCAATGAAGTACATACTACTTCTGTTTACCCACAAGGTTTCTACTTAGGTCCCAATCCAGCACCATGGAACCACTGAGGGTGTGATCATTGTATTACACTATCATACATTTAATATGCTCTCAAGTACCATGAAAATGAAACTATGCTCATCAAAGTAATTGAACAGTGCATTTTGTGGTGCATTGCCCTTGACTTCCTTCTAATCCTATTTGTTCGCTTACTTGCTAATGTGCAACAGATCTGTGAGTCATTAATGTGAATTAGGATCCACGGTACACAGTTGGAAAACAGCAAGCAAGCAAAAAGCTTCACTCTCATCTATGTAATAGTAAGCAAGTTCTTATCCTACTCTCCTGAGTGAACTCAGTATAATTTCACATATAACATTGGATTAAATATTTAGAAAAAGACAAAGCAAGCTCGAAATCCACTGACCTATTCCTGCTTTGAGTTTCACTATCGTACGTCTGGAGTAACACCAGATTTTTTGAAAGGCAGCTGAGAATCGATGCTGGTCTGCACTGTTCATTAGATTAGTCAAACACGGGGTAAGGTATCTACAGTTCAGTCAGTAAACAGGGGCATCTTTCAATTTGCCATTATCTAAATATGAAACAAAGACTCAAAGTGGAAGAGCAGTGGGAGAAAAATAAAATAAAATAATGCAAGCAGCTGAAAATGAGGTGGTATTTATTTCTATAGCATGAATGATTGTACGGGTTTGTGAATTCTTACCTCTGATGTAACAGCCATGCAGCAATAACATGGGGAAACTAGGTCTGTGGGTCTAAAAAGGGTACCACTGAAAGATCTGAATAAAGTTATGAATAGAGGGCAGAGGTTCTGTTCATATTTCCTTTCTTCTACCCTTTATCAGCCTTGTCTACTTAAACTTTAAACAGT